TACTTTAACTCTTCTTTCAAATCATTCCAATAGCCTACAAAATCAAGGGAATTTAGTGATAAAATCATCAAGTGTAACCTCAACTCTCTTATTCACAAAACTAAAGCAAAAACATGAGTTAAAGCAAGTTTCTAAGTAAAAAAAGGTGCATTTAGTATAAAAATTACATCACAGATAACGGTATTTTCAACCGTTATCACTTACCCAAAGAATTATTCTAGGAAGGAGAAGGAAAGATAGTTTGAGCATTTCATGGAGATTTTCAAGAAATTGGAGATTAACATACCCTTCTCTAAAGCTTTGAAACAAATGTCTTCATATGCTAAATTTCTGAAGGAACTCCTCACTAAGAAAAGGAAATACATTAAAGAGGAAACCATTGAAGTACAAGGAAACGACAGTGCTATTATACAAAAGCTTTTACCTCCCAAGTTAAAAGATCTAGGAAGCTTCACCATTCCTTGCACTGTAGGGAATATCTCTGTTGGAAGGGAACTCATTGATTTAGGAGCCAGTATCAATCTGATGTCGCTCTCTATGTTTAAGAAGATTGAAGGTTTGGAACTCAAGCCTACTCAGATGACTCTTCAACTAACGAATAGATCTCTGAAATATCCTTATGGGGTAGCTGAAGACGTGCTTGTAAAGGTGGACAAGTTTCTATTTCTTGTGGACTTTGTTATCATGGAGATGGAGGAGGATGTGAATGTGCCTCTCATTCTTAGGAGACCATTTATGAAGACTTCAAGAGTCTTAATTGATGTGGAGAATGACAAGCTTAAAGTAAGAGTCCAAGATGAAGAAGTAAATTTTGACGTGTTTGAAGTTATGTCACATACCAAGGATGAGAAAGCATGTTTCCAGTTTGATACACTTGACAAAGTTTGTATAGTGCAAGAGAAGATGGTAAGTTGTTCTTCTCCTTTAGAGAAGACGCTCATTGATGCATGTGAAGATTTGAATGAGGAGGAAAAATTGATGAGTGCTTGAATGACTTTGAGGTGTTAAAAGAACTTCCATTGCATGAGGCAAATTTTGAGAAGATTGATACCAAGGAAGAGATCAAGGAAAAGAAACTGGAGTGGAAAGTATTACCATGTTAAAACTCTGCCAAGTGTGCCGAATCATATCAAGTAATAATAAATGGTAAGCCCAAGTATCGTTTCCCAAGAGACTCATGACCTAGACATTCACGTGGTTTCTTGATTAATTAAGACTTGTAAACAAAATCATGATGTTTATAATGTAGAAAATAAATATGAATGCAAGTGTTGATCAATTGACTTGAAGAATGCAGAGGTGATTGGTGTATAAAATATGGAATGATTATGTTGTTGGGGTT